ACTAGTCTAGTCTATAGTCTAGTCTATAGTCTAGTCTATAGTCTAGTCTAGACTAGACTATAGACTAGACTATAGACTAGACTATAGACTAGACTATAGACTAGACTATAGACTATACTATAGACTAGACTAGACTAGACTATAGACTAGACTATAGACTAGACTATAGACTAGACTATAGACTAGACTATAGACTAGACTATAGACTAGACTATAGACTAGACTATAGACTAGACTATAGACTAGACTATAGACTAGACTATAGACTAGACTATATACTAGACTATAGACTAGACTATAGACTAGACTATAGACTAGACTATAGACTAGACTAGACTATAGACTAGACTATAGACTAGACTATAGACTAGACTATAGACTAGACTATAGACTAGACTATAGACTAGACTATAGACTAGACTATAGACTAGACTATAGACTAGACTATAGACTAGACTATAGACTAGACTATACTAGACTATACTATAGACTAGACTATAGACTAGACTATAGACTAGACTATAGACTAGACTATAGACTAGACTATAGACTAGACTATACTAGACTATACTAGTCTAGTCTATAGTCTAGTCTATAGTCTAGTCTATAGTCTAGTCTATAGTCTAGTCTAGACTAGACTATAGACTAGACTATAGACTAGACTATACTAGACTAGTCTAGTCTATAGTCTAGTCTAGACTAGACTATAGACTAGACTATACTAGACTATACTAGACTAGTCTAGTCTATAGTCTAGTCTATAGTCTAGTCTATAGTCTAGTCTATAGTCTAGTCTGTAGTCTAGTCTAAGGTGGTGTTTTTTGCTATAAAATTTTGTCCTAGTCTAATATGGACACAACCATAAGTACATAGTATTTATGAGTATTTATGTGTATGTATATGAACGTACCTACTCATATGAGTACCGAGTATGCTTTTGTGTTGAGTGCTAGACTTTTTCCTTCCGGTTTCAGTTTTGTTTTACAAAAAAATAATAATAAATGAAGCAAACAAAACAAAA